CTCATGAAGATCAACTGTGACTTGACTTGACTCATGAAGATCAACTGTGACTTGACTTGACTCATGACGATCAGTTGTGACTCGACTTGACTTGACTCATGACGATCAGTTGTGACTCGACTTGACTTGACTCATGACGATCAGTTGTGACTCGACTTGACTTGACTCATGACGATCCGATCAACTGTGACTTGACTTGACTCATGACGATCAGTTGTGACTCGACTTGACTTGACTCATGACGATCAATTGTGACTTGACTCATGACGATCAACGGTAAATTTACTTTATTCATGAAGATCAGCTGTGACATAACGGGGCGTTGTGTCCACCATTTTACGATCAGGCTCCGCTGTCGCCACCATTTTGTGAGTGTATTCTAGTGCGGCCGCCATTACACAAGCGGACTCTGTGTCATGTTTCTCTGCAACACCCACCGTGAACACGGAGTCGACACACAGCAGAGCAAAATTCAAAAAATTGTTTAGAGAAGAATGGGGACCCTCACGGATTAATCGAGACTTTAAAGGTTCATTTACTCCATCACAAAAAAAGTATATCAGTACACAATCTGGCAGATCAGAATAACAAGCAATGTCCAGATACTCTTGAATATAGCCTTCAAGCGGGTATGTGCCCTGCTTTAAGCCTAATAAAAGTTTTGCAGTGTCCATACCTGGCCAATGTCCACATGAAAAGCTGCTGGATCCTTGTGTGACACACACATAAACACACTTTATTTATTTGTATCTCTTTTGAGGACATTAATAAGTTTATTCAGCAAAGATGCATTGAACTGATGAAAAGTGACAGTGAAGACTTATAATGTTACAAAATCTTTTAACAAAATGTTTGTTCACTCTACTATTTATGCAAACATCCTGAATCTCAGAGGACAGAAGCATAATTAACTTTATTAATGTTTGCTCTTATAATGTTAAAAAGATAGCTTTTCAAGAATAGTAAATTTTTAAAAAGATAAAGAATAAGTGACAAATATAACAATACAATGGCTCTTTTCATCTGTTTATGAGAGCATGCACAGCAAAACTGTCCTCTTCATCAATCAAACCTGAGAACTGTTGCTCAGACAGTCTTTAGGAAGAGAGAGAGGGAGACAGGAATGAGGGAGAATGTGAGAGAAAGGGGGAATAAGAGGAGGTTGGGAACGCTTCCGAAGTTGGAGTTGGATGTTGGCTTTTCAGTGTTGAATTCAACAAATCCAGGTGGGTTGCTGCCTGTGTTAGACTTGATCCAGTCCTGGTACTGAGACACTCTGGAGTACACACCAGGATATTTGGGCTCAGCACATCCTTTACCAAAACTCACAATGCCGGACTGAATCCACAGGGAGCCGCTCTTGCTGACCATTGGACCTCCACCGTCTCCCTGTATTGACAAAGATATAGCATTTATATCTCTGACAATATACAGTGAACAACTGTTACAGACAGAAGTATGCAGTAATGTAACCCAGTGGTGAAAGTATGCTGGCCGCGTTTATTTTAATGAGGCCAGCATACATTTTTTAATTGTTTGCAGTGGGAGCACTGAGCGTTTTTCCCGTCAATGAGAGCAAAAATATTTTCAACTTTGGGAAAACCAAGTGTGCCACACATGTCCTGAAAACTGAATCCAAAATATTTTGATCGCCCCCTGGTGGCTAGCTGCAGTAAAGGTCTCTGTCCTCTCCATAAACCAATGGGACATGAGCCAAAAAAAAAATCAATAACATTTCAAACTAATTTTTGTATCCCAAAACAAATTTTTTTTTTTTGTTGTTGTCATTTTAGTTAGTTCTAATCCACTGATATTTGTGTAAGCGTCAAGTAGATGTTACAAAAAGTAGCTTTAGAAAAAAAAATCATTCAACAGAATTTATCACACAAACTTTTCGGCTTCATCATCCATAAAATGATGACAGTGAATGATGACAAAATTTTTACTTTTGGGTGAACTATACCTTTAATGGTTTTTTAATTAATATGGAAATATGAAATGGTGAATTCACATTAATTGGGACACTTTTAGTACTTTTCCAACAATACCGGAGCTGGTGCCGGAGCTGGTGCCGGAGCTGGAGCCGGAGCCCAATTGGAAACCGGGCTGTGCTTTTCCACTCAAAAAAATTCCAGCTCCTGGTTCCGAACCGGCCCCAAAACCCTGCTGGTCTCGAACAAAGGAACCTATGATGTCAGTAGGCAGAATTTCCACCGCAGACGCAGTTTGAAAGGCATAATTTTCAGGTAAATAAACAACATTAACAAGAACAATTAAATACGTCAGTTCATCAGTGGCCAGCAGAAGAGATCAAGTCTCCTTCCGCAAGAGATAACAAGAGATTCTGGTCACATGTTAGTGACGTAGAAGGATCTGCTCCCTGCCAGTGGAAACGCGACCCGGTTCTGAATGAGTGCCACCATTAGCCGAGCACCGGCTCCAGCACCAGCCCCAGTGGAAAAGCGATAGTTTTGCCATTGCGATGACTGGGGAAAAAGTGTCCCAGTCAACCTGAATTCATCTCAAATTTTTAAAAATGAAATTATACTCTAAATAAGAAACTAAAACTACCAGTAGGTGGTGGTAAATATCTAAATTAAATAAAGTAAATGGCTCTCTTTATGAATGGGCCATTGAATCATTGATTCACTCAAAAAGCAGATTCATTCAGAAACAAAGCAGTGCTGTGTGTTGCTCGGAGACACAGCAATTCTGCTGTGGCTTTACAAGGTAATAAATTAGTTGGCAAAACTGAGCAAAAGCAGACAATATTGCATCTAAAATATAGCACAATATCACATCTGCACTCTATAGGCACTCTATATTCTATAAGCTTCATCACACAGTGAGTTGTTGCCCTGCATCATGTTCTTCATCACTCAACTGTAATGAAATGAAAGATGTGTAATGGGATTATTATTTTGTTGTCATAAAAAAAAACCCTCATAAATCACACAAAAGGTTTTTTGAAAATCGTAGGTTTAGGTGTAGGGTTATATATATATATATATATATATATATATATATATATATATATATATATATATATATACACACAGTATATAC